TCACCCTCTATTCTATTCAACATTACTTTGGCAGCTGCAATTTCTGTGGACGACGTATCTGTGGCATAAATAAATAGTCTTGAGATTATGGGAGCAGTCCTAATATTACCACACGGGATGGTATTATGAGTCACGATGATATGTTGTGTTTTGCTTAAAGCCCAAGCTTCTGAAGTAATATTATTGTCAGAATCTCAGTTGTCATTTTTTTAAAGAGTAAGTTTCTGGCCCTGGTGCTTGCAGAGAAAACAAAAACCTTAAAGCCTCAAGAATCAGAAGGCAAATAAAAAGACCCCCACATTTATTATTTTTGAAAGAAAAGCTCATGATATTTAAGCCAATCATTTAATTTTTTGAGGCCTGATTCATGATTTTTTTTTTAAAAAAAATTTAATCCTTAGGGTTGGCTGTTCTGCAGCCCTGAGAAATTCCCCTGACGAAAACCTGAGGTTAAACAGATCTGCTCCATAGTGTGCGGGAGTCACATTCCCTCTGTGTGGCCTTTGCTCCCTGGCGGCTATGTGCAGTGGAGATGTGACATGTGTGTTTTGGGCCTTTTACAGCCAGGGGCTGCCCATGGGATTTGACTCAGGATTAATTCTAATATAGAAGTCATCCAGTAAGTGGCTAGCATCAGTTAGTATTGCCCTCAGAGGCAGTGCTCACCCACAGAGGGCCCTAAGCAGGAATATCTCCCCCCCCCACACACACACACAAACTAATAATTAATAGGGGGCCCTCTTGAGCTGCTTGGGGCCCTAGGCAATTGCTCAGTCTGTTTATGCCTAGCGCTGGCTCTGATGGCCCTGGAGAAAGGTTTTGTGAGAGCCCCTCTGAGGGGAGGAGTGTGCCAGGAAACCAGGGTGTGGTGTACGAATTAGAGCCAATGGGTGTGTCCCCCCCCCCCATTCCACCAGGCAGTGGGGAGGGGGCTAGATGTTTTGGCATTAAAAATAAACCCGCAAACAAAGAAAAGGGAGCGTGTGTGTGTGTGGGGGGGGGGGGGTCACCTGCAGTGCCACAACCAACCCCTGTGTACCTTGGGGTGAGGGGGAAGCAAAGGAAACTGCTGCGGGGGCCCCCCCTCAGTGTCACACAGCCCCAGAGCAGGGCCTGCTGCTGCCTGCTCCCTCAGGGCAGGAAACCTGTGGTGGCCCGCCCCTGCCATGGCTAGGGAGCATCTCTAAAGAGGGGCAAAATGAAAGAGAAGAATGAAGGGAGTGTCTAAGCAGGAGAGAGCCAGCAGGGAGACAAGGAGGTAAAGGGGAAGTGCAGTATTGCCAACTTCAAGAGATCAAACATTGTGAGTCGGACCCTCCAAAATCTTGGGATTGGCTCCCCCAAAAAATAACATTTTAAAAAAAGATGATATTGTGTTTTTTAGGCCAGTCTCTTGATTTTGGGGGGGGGGGAATACAAAAAAAACACCTGGCCCGTCCCCAGGGTGTGTGCATGTGACAATTAGTGTTGCCCACTCTTCCACATGTACCGGATAAGGTCATTCTGGCCCCTGCTGCAGGTGCTCTCACCCCCACATCTGCCCGTCTTCTGCCCAGCAATTAATCCTGTCCTCCAGACCCCCATCAGTTCAGTCCCCCAGCCCCCATCATCACCATCCCATCAGTTCAATCCCCCTACACTGTCGACCCCCACTGCCCTCAGTTTACTCTCCCAGAACTCACCCCATCTGCTCAGAACCGACCATCAATACAGCCCCTCCACCCATCAGTCCCCACCTTCCTCACTTCAGCCCCCTCAGGAAACCCCCAGGCCAGGGATTGGCAACCTTTGACACGCAGCTCGTCAGGGTAAGCACCCTGGCAGGCCAGGCCAGTTTGTTTACCTGGGGTGGGGTGGGGTGAGGTGGGGGGTCGGGAAGCAGCGGCCAGCACATCCCTCGGCCCACGCTGCTTCCAGAGCCCCTATTGGCCTGGGACGGCGAACCGCAGCCAGTGGGAGCCGCGATCGGCCGAACCTGCGGATGTGGCAGGTAAACAAACCGGCCTGACCCGCCAGGGTGCTTACCCTGGTGGGCCACGTGCCAAAGGTTGCCGATCCCTGCCCCAGGCCATAATTCAACCCTCCCAGCCTCATCTCTGCTCCTCTTAGGGTTCTTCACTCTCCCCAGGCCTGGGGGCCTGCTGTAAAGTCTCCTCTCCCACTTCCCCGGCTGACAGTGGGGAGCCCCAGCCGCCCGAGGCTTACAGCAATTTTTAAGTAAAATTAAGCCTCACTCATGATCGAACTCTCAAATGTCAGAATTTGGGGGGAATATCCTGACATTTGAGAGTTCTATCGCGAGATCATGAGTGGGTGGGGCTTAATTTTACTTAGCGCGTCTCTCGTGATAAATTTGCAAGAGGTGGCGTGTCTGGATGTGCTGGCAAACAAGGAAGGAAAGTGGAAGGGAAAACCAAATAAAAGAAGTGTTTGCAAATTACGAAAAGGGTTGTGTAAGAATTAAAACAAAAGGGATTGCGGGGGTGGGGAAGAAAGGACAAAATAAAGGGAGTAAGCAACTTATCAAGGCAGAAAGATATGAACAGCTACAGGACTCCTCTGCAAGCCCTAATTTAGGGGTGGGGCTGAGATTCCTGGCTGTGCAGTCAGGCCCATCAGGAGACATGTGGGGCCCAGTACATCTTGTTCACTGGGGCCCCACCCTCTCCCTTTTCACTCTATTTACACAGATGTGTTGAGCTCAGGACCATGGTACAATTGTCTCCCTCTCATCTCACCAGCACTGCGCAGTGACCTGTGCCTTAAGAGACTGCTGTAATTTAAGATACGTCTGCACTTTGAGCTGGACGTGTAAATTCCATCTTAAGGAGACAGATCAGCGGAAGCTCAATCAGAGCTTGCACACTAAAAACAGAAGGGTAGCTGCAGCAGCAGAAGGGGCTAGCCACCCCAGGTATGCATGAGTATCGTGGATGGGATTGTACTCAGGGTGGGGAGCCCCTGCTCCTTTACAGTCTAATTTTAGTACTCTAGTTCGATCAGAGCTAGTGAGGGCATGTTTCCTTAAGCTGGACATTACATTTTCAGCTCAAAGTGTAGCCATACCCTTAGAAAAGTTAGGCCAGGGCTTTCTAAGTTACCCAATGGGCTTCTCCAACCCCCAAAACACCCCAGGCTCAGCTGGGCATAAAGGTGTATTAAAACCACCTTAGCTCACCCCCACCTGCTACCCCCCCCATGGGCTGTAAGTTTTGTGCTACATCTCCTAGCCTGCATCCTCACTGTAAAGAGGGCAAGTTACCTGTCTGAGGCTACGTCCTCACTACGAGGGAGGGGGGGTCAATTTAAGATACGCAAATTCAGCTACGCGAATAGCGTAGCTGAATTCGACGTATCACAGCCGACTTACCCCGCTGTAAGGACGGTGGCAAAATCGACCTCCGCGGCTTCCCGTTGACGGCGCTTACTCCCACCTCCGCTGGTGGAGTAAGAGCGTCGATTCAGGGATCGATTGTCGCGTCCCGACGAGACGCGATAATTCGATCCCCGAGAGGTCAATTTCTACCCGCCGATTCAGGCAGGTAGTGTAGACCTCGCCAGAGTGAAAGCAGCACCTGGGCCCTGGCCTAAACCCCAAGCTGTGCCAGCTAGCCGAGGTTTAAAGCACCACTAAACTTGTGAGAGGGGGTTTTCTGTGTGGATGGAAGTCGGATTAGGGGCACCATCTGAGTAAGAGCACAAGTTAACTCTGCAGTTAAGACATACATTGAGGGACAGCACAGACTCTCACCCTGTTTTTCTAGAAACTTGTGTAAAATGTGGGTTTAGGGGAATGTTTTTGTTTCCGTTTTCTAACATGAAGGTGTATCCATTTCTAATGTTAAATTTCTTATTAATTAGGCTTTCACATTTCCAGTAATAAGAAAGATGATTTTTTTGCAATGCAAAAAATGGAAAAGGTCATGCTTTTGTCATTGCAACCCTCAAATGTGAAGGTTTATATCCCTACAATTTTTATCCTACTCAATTTAACTGATGGTATCATTATCTGTATAAATGTGGTTTTTTTTAAATCATGCTAAGCTCTTTGTTTCCATGTTGCCTTGTGGTAACAAGTCCCTTAGCTTAACTAATTCATTGTGTTAAAATGTAATTTTTTTTAAATCAGTTTTAAAATTTGATGGCATTCATTGTAAATTGCTGAGAACATCAGTTTCATTGGCTTCTCCTTGTTCTTTGGTTATGAAAGAGGATAAATAGGAGGACCTGATTTTCCTTCCCAACACCATTCATTATTTTATACAATAATACTATGTCCCCTGTTACCCTTCTCCTCTTCAGACTAAACACAATACTTCAGGTGGTGAAGTAATATCAATTAATATCATGTCACTATAATATTTTTGGTATTATTTTGTATTCCAGGCTTTTTATTTCTTAACATTTTGTTTGCCTCTTTTGCTGCACTCTCACCAGCTGTTATCATGGTGTTTTCTACTTTTATTGTAGTTTTATTTTCTGTACTTTTCTTCAGGTACCATACACAATCTGATTGTTGGCTGCAAACCGCTGGAAATGGTTTATTCTTGTGGCCATGCTAATGTACCAGTGAAGTTAAAAATTTCTGAAGGGCTCACAGGAATTATTGGCTCCTATGAAAATGAAAAAGCACTTCCTGTTTTTAGTGACGCCTTTTAAAAATATTTCACGTGTTTCCGCGCCTCTAAGGCAGATCCTTCCTTATCTCTGTTCCTGTGGCTCCTTCTCTCTTTCGGTAATTTTGAGTTAACTTTCGGTGGCTGTTCTCTTCTTGATTTAGTGCCAAACCTCTCTGCAGAACAGGAAGTTATGCTATAGCAGAGAGGACTCCTTTATTTTCTATGTTGCCTTTCCCTCCACTCGGTGTATTTATTTTCTTATTTTGGGCTCCAGCCATTTCTGAGGCTATGTGAAGCTGCATATACATGAACTGATCACTCGCAGATGCACATATGATTACAACGAGTTGCCTGCTGCCCAGAACTGGTATGGCAGGGTTAACACTGCTTCCTGGTTTTGTATTACCCTAAGAATTAATCATGTTAGTGCCTTTGAGTACCCTTTGGGATTTCCTGTGTACAGTGACAGTATAAGCTCAGGGCCTCAGGCCGAGAAAAGGCGGATTTCCCCCACTCACGTCTCACCTGGAAGGGGATTTCCATCTTGCACAAATCTACTGCAGGACTTGCAATTATGCAGATATATAAGGCTCATAACAGTATGTCGGTATTTTGTATGATCTCTCTTGGGAGCTGTAAAAGGATTGTCCACCTCTGTAAGTAAATACTTACATCTTTGAGCTTATATTTATTTATGGAAACTGTATATACTTTGTATTTTGTAACTGTAAATGCTAACTTCTGGCTCTTTTACACACATAAATATTCCTAAGTTAAGAGTGGTTTCTGCATTTCGATGGCTTTCCGCTTGTTGATATATAGTGATTTATTAAAAGTGTTGTGTGGAACTATAAACACCCTCTGTATTTTTTCTGGAGTTGATGCATGTCTTCGCTTAGTAATCTAACATAAGATGTTAAATACTTTCTGGCTTTTTTATCTCTTTTCAAAACTGCACATACCTCTTTACATCTCAAAAAATAAAATAAGAGTGATAGATAAGATCCAAAGGAGGTCAATGCGGGGAAAGTGGCAGTCTTTGCTAGTCCAAAACTGGGAATATATTCAGTTTATTTTCATTTTCAGATTTCAGTTTAATTTTTTGGTAAATTTTCGTCATGATATTTTTCTATTCTGACCTGGCTTTTTTCCACCACTTGTGTTTTTTCATTTAATGTTTTTTTTCCTCTCTTCTTTTCCTTTTCCTAGCTGTTCCCACCACTCTTTTCCCTATTTGATCCTCCCCTCCCTTCATTTTATCCTTCCTTTCTTTTCTTTGGATAGGGTCTGTGGCATGGGTTCTGCTTATTATCCAGCTTTGTGTACTGAGTGTTTCAGAGGGTTTGCAGAAGAGAGTGAATTTGCAGTTTTGGTCTTCAAACCTGCATGAATTTACAAACCTTCACTGTTTACTGCAATGAACTGCTCTCTAATAAATCTTTTCTGATGAAGGAATTGGCAGTTGCACATTCTATGGAGCATTAGGATTTTCAAGCTAAGATATTTCAAACTTTAACAACCATGATACATTATAGAGAACCTAACATACTGCTTTGCTTGTCACACAATGTGCTGTATAGCAGTACCCAGTGTTTTGTGAATATCTCAAGGAGCAGTCATCAAATTCCACTCTAATGTAAACAAAATGTTGTATTTGCAATAAAAATAATGCCAGTGCAACACCATTGATTTCAATGGAGATATACGATGAAAAACTGGCCAAATGCACTAGTGAATCAGCTTTATTATGTGCATTTGTGCACAGCCTCATAATTGCCCTAGTGGATTTCTTTCTGTACACGCACATCTTAATGACTGTGCTGGTAGATATTTCTCCTTCAACAGGCATCCTCCCTCCCTCATTTCATGGGTGGTGTTTTCTTTAGGAAGGAGGGACGATGTGGGAGTCAGTGACCCCTGCTTGCCCTCCCCATCTCATCTGTATGAGGTAAGAGGGAGTTGCAGTTTCCTGTCTTCTCCCAGACAGGTTTCCTTTTGTGGGGTATGATGTTACCTATAATTCAACTGGGATCTTCTGATAGGCAGACAGGCCAGGCACTCTCCATTGGGAGCAGCAGGGCAAGGAAGGTGCCTGCTGCAACTGCCACCTTATTATTGCCACTTGTAACTTTAGCTACGTTCTGAGTTCTCTGGTGACACCTGTTGGGTCTGTGGCCTTGACCTACCTCACGCAGTTTCATTAGCAAGCAGATTTCCCTAGCAGGTATCATCAGTTGTATGTAATAATACTCCTAGGGAGATTGAGAGTCATAAATCCTGTGACAGACACTGTCACCAGCTGTCAGGTTTTGATCATGAGTCCTAGCTTATTTCAAGTAGACCAGTCAAGTCCTCTGCGTTTGATAGCACGAATGAAATTGTTTATGTATTCTGTACACAAAGGGCTGGTCTACACTGGGGAGGGGGGATCAATCCAAGATACGCAACTTCAGCTATGCGAATAGCGTAGCTGAAGTCGAAGTATCTTGGATCGAATTACCTGGGGTCCAGACGGCGCAGGATCGATGGCCGCGGCTCCCCCGTCGACTGCGCTACCGCCGCTCACTCTGGTGGAGTTCCGGAGTCGACGGTGAGCGCGTTCAGGGATCGATATATCACGTCTTAACGAGACGTGATATATCGATCCTGGATAAATCGATTGCTATCCGCCGAAAGAGAAAACAGGCACTTTTAGTCAGGATGACATTAAATTCCGTTTGAGGGAAACAACAATAAAGAAGGAACAAACTGGAAGTCCCCATGAGAGACAGAATGAGTACAGACTGTTTCTCTGTAACACCCTGTGACGATTTGGGGAATCTGTCTACATACAATTTATGAATCCTGTTTCAGATTATGAACTCTGTATGTATCTTTACCAAACTGCACACTTCATTTTGATTGTAAGGCTAGTCTGGCTTCTCTGTTGTTTTTTTACTTCCATTTTGGGATGACACAGGGCTAGCAATGGAAGGTTAGTCTTCTATTCAAACGGGAAAAACCTGGAAAAAAGAAGTTGGCAAAACCAAGAAAACCCGGTTCTGCCAGGAAACCTAGTATTCAGGCAATAGATCACCTGGTGGTGGACTTTGAACATCTGACAAGGTCACATGACAGAAGAAACTGCAACTTTATAAAGACTCTCAGTAGCCATTTTAGAAAGAGGGGGAAGAGACCAGAAGCAGAAAGCAATGCTGTGCAGGAACAGAAAGGTGAGGATCCTGGATACCCTAGAGCAGCTTTAGCAACCTGAGGACCCCCATTTTTATTTACATTCTTTTGCTGACCCCCCAAGCTCCCTGCTCAGCCCCAGGTGCTGCCACCCACTCTACCCCTTCCCCCAAGGCCCCACCCTGCCCCACCTCTTCTTGCCCCTGCTCCACCTCTGCCTCTCCTCTTCCCCACCCCTTTCTGCCCCTCCTCCGAGTATGCCCTGTCACCTCTCCTCCCCCTCCCTCCCAGCACCTCCTGCACACCTATGAACAGCTGTTCCACGGTGTGCAGGAGGCACTGGGAGGGAGGGGGAGGAGTTGATCAGCAGGGCCAGCAGCCCCGGACATGATTCCGCCCCCTTCCCCAAGCCTGCCCCTCCCTGCTCCTTCCCCCTCCCTCCCAGCACCTCCTGCACATTGCTGAACAGCTCTTCCCCGTATACAGGAGGTGCTGGGAAGGAGGGGGAGGTCTTGATCAGTGGTGCCCGCAGCCCCCCTTGAGTACCCTTGCAGACCCACAGGGATCCAGGGACCCCAGTTTGAGAAACACTGCCCTAGAAGTCTCTGACCTAAGCCCTAAGAGTGCTGGAGTCAGGGAAGGGGATGTAGATATTTCATTGTTTTATCTGAATATTAGATCTCTTCGGCCACCTAAAGTAAAGAGTCATTGTTTTAGAATCCCTTTTGCAAAGTCTGTGCAGTATGTACTTCAACTATCACGTGTTCCTGGAGAGGTAACTGTAAACCACAGTGTCCACAATGTTGGAGCTCTGGAAATGGGTGTGCTTAAGCAACAGGGATATTAGGGGCTCAGTACAGGTGTTGGAGATCTAGGGGAGCTGGCCTGTGATGTGAGGTCCCATTTCCATGAAGCGCTAATAGGCAGAGAGCCTGTGCCTAAGAATTGTGCCAGAGAGGTGAAGGAAAGAGTAGTGTTGGGAGCCTACTCAGATCAAGGGAAGCTTTAGAGTACACAAATCCAGCATGGTGGGATCCAAACACAGCCACTTGGTGAGTGTTCAGTAGGGGGAGTTCCACTAGGACTATGACACACCAGCTTTGAAAAAGGTGACAATGAAAACCAGGAATGTTCTTCATTTGTCATGTGGATTTGGAGCCAGGTTTCAATGTCCTCCAGAACAGGGGTTCTCAACCTTTTTCTTTCTGACCCCCTCCTCCCACCGAACATGCTATAAAAACTCCACGGTCTGCCTGTGTCACAATAACTAGTTTTTTGCATATAAAAGCCAGAGCCGGAGTTAGGGAGTAGCAAGCAGGGCAATTGCCTGGGGTCCCATACCACAGGGGCCCCTGCAAAGCTACATTGCTCAGGTTTCAGCTTCAGGTCCGTATGGCAGGGCTGAGGGTCCTGGGCTTCAGCCCCATGTGGCGGGGCTTCAGCTTTCTGCCCTGGGCCCCAGCAAGTCTAATGCTGGCCCGTCCTGATGGACCTCCTGAAACCTGCTCGTGGTCCCCCGGGGGCCCCGAACCCCTGGTTGAGAACCACTGTTCCAGAGCATACAATTAACAAAGAGGCACCAACTGCTTCATGGAGCTGTACCTCAAGTTCACCTTAGAAGCTTTTTTGGGAGGAAAGGAGCCCAGGTCATTAAAATGCATTTGTGAAAGCCAGATTATATTGTGGGCCATACTTTTAACATCTCAGATCTGGAGAAAGTCAAAAAGAATGCAGTAGGGGGATTTAAACACAAGCAGAACAATTCCCTTCTGTTTTAGATACCTTTTGCTCTGACCACTGGATGCAATAGAAAATATATTTGAAATTACATTACTTTTCAGTATGTTAATTCCTCTAACCACTAAAGAACAGATAATAAGTTGTAACTTTGCTTATTTAGACTAACAATGTTCTCTTTTTCTTTGAAGGCATTTTATTCAATATCTGGTACCTTTAGGGCTCCTTAAATCAACTGGAAGATGGCAGAAGCAGTACTGATTGATCTGTTCAGTCTACAAATGAACTCACAAAATAATGGCATTCAGAAGTTATTATGTAGCACACTAGAAAGGATTGGAAAAGGCTTCTCTGCCAGTGCTCCATTTGTTTACATAATGTGCTACCAAACTCCGAGAAGCGAAAGTAGCAGTGAACAAGATTTGTTACTTAAAGTAATCAGCAGTTTTCAAACTCTAAAGAAAGGAATTGAGGTTGTGTGCAAGACAAGTACAGCTGCTGCCTTGTACACCATTAAACAAAAACTAGATGAAAAGGATTTAAGCATCATTAAAATCATTTTACCAGTACAAAGGAAAGCCTTAATGGAAGTGTTTATAGACCACCTATTCACTGCTGTTTACCAGTTTCAGTTTGAGGATTTTGGGATGGATTTTGAAGGAAACAACCTCCAACAAATAGCTGAACCTCAGAGCGACATACAAACACTTCCTGCCCATGAGATGGAACTCATCAGGAGTGAGATTCAGACATACTTGGAAAGTCTGCCAGACCTGAAAGGGAAGCTTACCATTCTAAAATCTTCCTTGATCCCAGGTAAACTGGAAAACAGATTTTATGGATTTTTTTAAACCTGTTTCATTCAGTTTTCAGTTTACAGATTCTTCTACTTCAGGGGTTCGCAACATGAGGGCTCAGGGCTGAATTTTTCACCCCCAAAATATCTCTCTGCTGCTGTGATATCCCTATAGCCAGCCAGGGGAGAAGTCCCCAGTGCAGACATCATCAGATAAGATAGCCATAGATTGTCCTATGCAGCCCGCCCTTGTAAGTCCAGGCACAGAGGGTATAGAAGGGGCCTAAAGGGGTAGGCCTTTAGCACTCTGGGGATTCTGAGTGGCACTGCTGAATAACTTAGATCAGTGCCAATGGATGCCTAAATCACAGTCCAAAATTGGGAAGGAGCAAATGTGGCTTAAAGAATGGCACAACATAGGGTAAGATTCTATGTGTTCAGTGTTAGTGCTGACGCAGAAAACAGAGACACCGTGTCAGCTGATGGGGTCAGTAGCAATCATTCTTATGGGGAAGAAGCAAAAAGCAAACACCTCTCTGAGTGGAGCCATAGAGCACAATGCTCCCCTTAATCTAACTGCTCTCCATCTCAGCGCTTGTGGGATCTAAGCAGCCAAACGAGGGCTGTGTCGTGCGTTGAAGTTCTGAGTAGGAAGGGGTGGGCAAGGGGTTGCCTGTTTCCTGCTCTGCCAGCACTCACACCTTACATTTAATTAAATCTTTGGATATTGTGTTTTCCTGCACTATTGGAGGGGGGCATCTCACGGTTTAGATAAAAACAACCTACTTACTTTATATTCCGGCTACTTGGAATGACACTCCCCAAATCAAAGAACTGAATTGTTGGAAGATCTCTATCTGGCTATATCCTGTATCTGTTCGGATGTTCAGATAACAAATATGGACTGCTGAAACTATCTTCAAAAACACACCCACTACGTGCCTTAGCCAGTCAGAAAATCAGTTATACCTTACAGTAGTGGTTCAAAGACTTGCTACCTCATTTTTCTTTATGTACATTATTCCCAGCTCGAGAAGAGGGATTTTTCAATTTGAGTTTTCCCGGAATTCTTCCTTCGGGGGCAGGAGATTATAGCACAGCATCCCCTTGTGGCAGAGGAGGTAGAGGATTTGGTTGCAGAGAATGCACAGGGAATTCTTTATTCAGGGTGCCTGGTCTCTCACTGTCAGTCAGGTGTACGCACACACACACTTTGTAATTCTCCTTAGCTATCTAGGTCACAGATACAAGCATGGTCTTCACCTAAAACTTAGGCCGACCTAGCTATATCACTCATGGGTGCAAAAAATTCACTCCTGTGGGGGAAGTAAGTAAGCCAACCTAAGCCCTGATATTGGAACTGCTAGGTTGATGGAAGAATTCTTCTGTTGATCTAGCTAGCACCTCTTGAGGGGGTGGATTAACTACAACGATGGAAAAACTCCTAGTGTCACCATAGCACATCTGCAGCACCATAGATGTGTCGCTGTGGCGTCTGTAGTGTAGACACACCCACAGTCCAGTGGCATAGATAGGAGTGGAAATTTGGGTGGGCCCCAATTTTCAGGTGGACGAGCAATGACAGACAGTGCTAGCTCAGCTTCTCCCCGAACGCTACACCCTCTTCCTAGTCCTGGTGTCCCCAGACATAGGACTTCACCTGGCAAGCTGGGCACGTGCATGGAGCGGCTCAGAAAATGGCCAGGCAGAGCTGCCAGAGCATAGCTTTCTGAAGGGCGGGCACATAGCTCCATCCTGGATTTCAGGTGCCCAAGTGATGCTCTGGGTTGCTGTGGCAGCACTATACCCCTGCTCAGATTTGGGAGGACCTGGATGCTAAGTGTGTGGGCCGTGGCCACGCCCCTGCCACAGCCTCTGCTGCAGATTGTCACCACATATGTGCATCTAAGTCCTGGATTGGGTGAAGCAGTCATGGAATGGATTTTTATTATAGCACAAGGAATGGGTCTCCCTGCACATATCCACCTAGCAGAAGATTGGTTCTCCCTAAACCTGCAGTTCTTTAGAGATCTCCAGTGGAGGGAGGCGCCATTTGCCCCAAAATCCCTTGCCCCTGCCCTGCTGCTCAGCTCCCCACCATGGCTTCTGTGGTTCCTGGACAGTATTTCACCTGTTGGAGCTGTGTGCCAGGGACCCCTCCACTGCAGGTGCTCCTAGAAGGAGGAGTTGCTAGAGACTTGGACACCAGTAATTTGCTTGGGTTTGCCCTGGAAGTTGGAAGAGGGTAATATTAGATCTAGCAGAGAGCCTGCTGACTCACATCCCGTGACCTGGAGCTCTGTGGAGTCCAGGAGTAATGTGGTCACAGGGAACATGCCCCTGTCCTGGCTCTTACTCACTCCACGCTTTACCCTGGCAAGAGTCACAGTTTTTCTCACTTGCTCGCCAGAAGAAGAAGGCAGCATGGGATCCTTGTTTTTAAATGTCATCATTAAATAAGCATCAGCCATCCAACAATCTAACTGGCTGATACCAATTCCATTTGGCAGAACCTGGTATAATTTTCAGGTTTTTCATTTGTTTCAAACAAATTCTCTCTCTCTCTTCACCAGGTCACATCTTCCTACACGGGTTCACCACAAGGACAGGTGGGATCTCTTATATACCAACGCTCAGCTCCTTCAATCTCTTCAGCAGTTCCAAGCGGAGAGATCCAAAGGCTGTGGTTAAAGAAAACCTACGCAGATTAGCTAATGCTGCAGGTTTTGACCCAGAGACATTTCACCGTGTGAAGGTATGTTATCAGATAGCAGTGCACTCCTATATTAACTAATCAGAGCTTGCTTTGTGTAGCAGTGAATGTTTTGGTTTTTTTAACTGTGCATTAGTCTTCTCTTCCTAGCAAGAGATTATAAGTAGTAGGACAACTTTTTAAGACAGTTATTGTGGCAGTTTAACATGATGAAACTGTCATCATAGCTGTCAACACGCTTGGTACTATATAGAGAGGAAGATTCAGTCCCTCTCCCAAGAAGTTTGTTCTAATAGATCATACAGTTAGTTCAGTGACATAATACCATATATGACCAGATAAAGATCCAAAATCAAAGTGGTGCAGATATCTTTTTACTTAAAAAATTCATTTCTTTCTTAGACGGATGTGGTTGCACACCAGAGGTGTGTTTTAAGAAGGGATCTGAAGGCAAAGACAGTGGTTGTTTGTTGAACAAGAAGAGGGATGGAGTACTAAACATAAGGGTTGGCCTGAAGAGGGTGAGAACAAGAGAGCTGGAGAAAGGGCATTCAGCAAAGTATGAATTAATTTTTTTTTCACTGCCTTATAACTGTGCTTCATCTGTCTTTGTACTGACAGGTCAATCATGCCAGTGATGTTTGGATTATGGGAAAGCCCCAGCCTGACAGCTATGATGGAATAGTAACGAATCAGAAAGATGTTACAATAGCCGCTCTCGGCGCTGACTGCATACCTGTGCTTTTTGCTGATCCTGTCAAAAAAGCATGTGGAGCTGCTCATTCTGGTAAGGGCATCTAGTATTCAGTTCACATAATCAAAGTAATATAATACTAGGAGAGTACTGGGAATGGATCCCTTGAATAGTAAACGGGATTAATAATCAAGTAGTAAGGTTGGGTTTAGTGAGAGCCAGTGAGTGAAGGATCCCAGGCTCAATCCCTTAGCTCTTCCTTTCTAGGCTTCCTAATATAGTTCTTTTTCAAAGATGTAGAACTCTTCTAAAGAGCATGTAATAGTTAGCTGGATTCCAGTCAAACACACTTGCAACTTTAACTGTTTCTAACAAGGTTTGTGTTTGTGAATTGCCCAGTTTTTGGTGTGAGCATCAAACATTTCAATCAGATTGTGCCAGAGGTCCGTGGATCTAACAGCTCTTAGGAGGCCCATCAGAGTAGAGCTTCCCTCTGCAGGCTTCATACATACAGGAAGGATGTATGTGTGTAGGGAGCTACACCGTGTGTGTGTGTGTGTGTGTGTGTGTGTGTGTGTTATGCGTGGGGGAAGTGAGTGGTGACGGGAACGAAGCGAGGATAAAAGGGAAGCTTTTATCCACGTTGACAATTTTAAGAGGTTGAAGTTTTTATATCTCAAAATGTTAAGTGTTAAAAGTTTAATGTGTATAAGAGTTTGTGCATGCTCTGTCCCTTTCTATGTTCCCCTTTCAGTTACCTGCTCCCCCCTTCCCGGACCCCCAAGCTGCTCCATCCTGTCCATTCTCTGCCAGTCTCCTGTGCCCTCTCCATGCACCCCCTCCATCTGCTTCACCCTCCCATTCCAAGACCAGGTAGCATGTCACCCAATCCCCTCTCTCCAATCCGCATGCCTTGTATTCTACCATGTCCCTGACCAGTCACATATTCTCTCCCCCATGTCCATCCTTCTGGCGTTCCCCAAATCCATGCCTGAAGTCAGTAGCAGGTCAAATTATTTTGATAAACATTTAAAAATAGGTTTAAACCTTGCTCTGTATACCCCTAAATACCATTCTGTGGCCCAGACTGTAGCCAGGGGTCATAGAAAAGGAGGGGAGAAAAAGAAACAAAATACCTTTGCCTCTACATTAAGGCACACTCAGTTCTGTGCAAAGCCTGTCTTGAGCTCTGTGTAAAGTACAGGGAGTCAGAGCTAGGTTTTCTTCCTTGTAGTCCAAACAATCCTGGCATGCAGCACAGTTTACACTTGCTTCAGCCAAGTAGCACAGATATGGAGATTTTTTTTTTCCCATATAAAATGTTTTTTCCCTTCTCTTTAAATAATATTTTTCCACAGTGCTGTCATGTGAGATTGTAAAGAAACTTTTACAGTATTTAACCCATGAGATATTGCCGCACAGAGTGAACAGTGAGGTGTAATTGAATGGTGTAAAATCAGGGCTGGGAGCAAGGCATTCCTGAGTTCTAAGCCCACTTGTAATATTGACTTCCTCTGCCCTTGGGCAATTAAAGGTTCCTTTCTTCTTCAGTTTCCCCATCTCTAAAATGGTAATACGGCTACTTCATAAGAATGCTCTGAGGACTGTTAATGTTTGCTAAAAGCTAATTATTCCTCCATGTATTTGGCTTGTAGATCCTTAATAATAATAATAATAATTAATAATAATTAATTTTCTGTAACCATTCAATTTAAAAATAAACTTGCAGGATTTTTTCCCCTTATGTTTTTTCCTAGGATGGCAAGGCACTTTGTTAGGAGTTGCTATGGCTACAGTAAATGCTATGATAACAGAATATGGCTGTAATGTTAAGGATATACTTGTGGTGCTGGGCCCATCTGTTGGACCGTGCTGTTTTACACTTCCTCAGGAATCAGCAAAGGAATTTTACAATCTTGATCCCAAATGTGTCAGACAGTTTGAATCTCCAACTCCCTATGTTGATATTAGAAGGGCAACACGGTAAGTCTGATGTGTGTTTTTCTATGCTATAGTTTGTTGTGCTAAGCAGCCTAGGGATGAGGACAAAAGACTGAATCAGAAGAAATTTAGGTTCTAGTCCCAGTTAGTCACTGATATGGAGTGTGATCCTGCTGGGTAGGAGTTGAGGGCCCTCAGAATTTCATGGGAGCATTGCAGTATCAAGCCCTTAATGAATGAACCTAGGGACGATATTTGCTCACCTTGTGTACCGCTCAATCCCACTTGAAAAACTGGGTGGGATGGACACAAAAAATATCCCCACTGCCTCCAACAATATACTGAACTTTGCTTTCCTGGATAACAACATTACAAGCAAAGTTTTGTTATGCTTTGCATGTGTTGCCAAAGTATGGAGTTTCCTCTAATAGCAAGTCAGGACAGAACCAACTCTTCTAGTTTCAAATGTTGCTATATTTCAGCTATTTTATGCCTTAAGAGTAGCTTCTTTGTTCTATATACATGTTCAAGCTTAAGTATGTGTCCTAAAGACTGAGCAAACACACTTATTTTAATCTAAAGAAAAAATGCTATTAACACAGTTTGTCTTGCACTATTGCAATAGCAGTAACACACTGGCTTAAGGAACGTGCCATTTGATAAAATGTTCCATCTTTTCTTTTTCTTCCTTTCTTTAAGAATTCTTCTAGAGACTGGAGGGATTCTGCCTCAGAACATACAGGATGATTCTGTCACTGACCACAAACAAAGTCTCACTTTCTGCACAGCATGCCACCCTGATACATTTTACTCTCACGTTCGCGATGGCACTAACTTTGGCACACAGATTGGCTTCATATCGATCAGAGACTGAGGTAGCGTCTCTTATCCTTGGGTAGTAACCGGGCAATAACTGTTAGCATTGCCTGACATCTTACTCTCCTGATAGTAGGCCTCTCCCCTTTCCTTCACCTGATAAGTTCTGAGGAAGAGGTGGACTTATCATAAGGGATTTGTACCTGTGGGGATGCCTTGTTCCCCTGTGGGAGGCGAGACCAGCAGCCGGATGAAAGAGCCAGAGACAAGGTTGCATGGGGAAGTTCTCATGGAAAGTGGAGATCTGTGGGAACTAGACCATCTGTGCACAACACCCCCAAACCTTTCTGAATTATACCAGCAACATGGCTCCATTGTCTGACTTCCATTTTCTACCTCCCATATTCCCAGACCTCTGTAGTGTGGGAAAGCCCTGAAGAGAGTTACTGCTTCTCTCCGAGCAGCAGTAGCATTCAGTGCAAGCTGCAACATCGATTGTGCTGCCCTGAAAGCAGAGCATGCTGTGCAGAGCTGCTATTTCCTCGACTCCTCTCCATCCCGGGTCATTTCCTACCAACTTCATGAAGCTGGGCTTCTGCACTGAAGCCCCCGGTATCTACACAATGGGGAGGTATTTTCAAATCCTTCTTTCCTCTCTATGTGCCCAGTCCTCCACCCTTTCTGCTCACACTGATTTCCCAGTGCACTAAGCAGCCAAGAGCATCATTCTACTTAGCAGTGGTTCCCAAACTTCAACAACCTGTGAACCCCTTTCACTAAAATGTCAAGTCTCGCGAACCCCCTCCTAAAAATGAATATTTCCAGGGATTTTCTTCTTTATCTGAGTATAAATTATAAAAGCAGTGATCTGGGAGATATAAAATTTGTTTTTATGACATGCTTATTACACACTATTTATTATTAATTATTATTTATCATAACAGTATTTTTATTACATTATGAAAATGGCAACACTCTTCCAAGATCTCACTTTCGTAGCTTGTATCACTTTGAATAAGCCTGTTATAAGACAAGGCTCCTATGTTTCATCAAGGAGTATCAGATGTGAAACAGCATGAACGTATTTAAGAAGCCAATTCAAAGAGTTCCTCCTACACAAGCATTCAGGTCTTGAGCAGTCCAGGCAAACAACGCACATTACAACAAAGCTTAAACTTGTTCTTCATGATAATTAAAAAAAAAATAATACTAGCTGCCTATTTAATTTTAAAAACAGCAAAAAATATCCACCTCCCTTTCCATTTCTTATAAGGAGTCTTGAAGTTTAAATCTCCTCCGTGTGATAGATCTACTTGCTTTGATCTGCTTAGCTCTTGGAAGTCCAGGGGCTCCGGGCTGCTGGCCAGCTCTGTCCGCCATTAGGGAATTTTTTCCTGAGAACCCCCTGTAACCTTTCGCGAACCCCCAGGGGTTCACGAACCCCACTTTGGGAACCACTGTACTTAGTAATCGGACAGCTGGCAGGCACCAAGAAGTCAGTAAAAAGGAGTGCAAGCTCTAGCTGTGGGCATGCCATTTTAAGAGACACAGAATCAGAGGAGAGGGACATATTGGAGAGGGGATGTTTCTTTTCTATTTTGTATATTTCTTGGCTCTCAGCTTCCCCCGCTTGTATGCTGGGTGGTCTGAAATGTTTGAGCTCATTATGAAAGTTGCAAAGGGATCATTTGAAATACATAACCAAAGTTTCATGATTTTGTTTCTGTTTATTTTTTCCCAGTGGATTTTAATTTAAGATGACTAATGTTCCTAAGCCATCTTCACTGGACACCAAGTCCTTTCTCAGGGTATGTCTACACTTACCCGGTAGTTCGGCAGCGAGCGATCGAACTTCTGGGTTCGACTTATCGCGTCTTGTCTGGACGCGATAAGTCGAACCAGGAAGTGCTCGCCGTCGACTGCGGTACTCCAGCTAGACGAGAGGAGTACCACAGAGTCGACGGGGGATCCTGCCTGCCACGTGTGGACCGAGGTAAGATCGAACTAAGGTACTTCGAACTTCAGCTATGTTATTCACGTAGCTGAAGTTGCGTACCTTAGTTCGATTTGGGGGGTTAGTGTAGACCAAGCCTTAGTGAACAAGGTCAGTTTCAGGCCTGAACAATCAGTGGAATTGCAAATTTATACAATTCAAAGTAAGCTTGATGGCTCCTCTCAGCATCTTGGTCTCACTATATCTCATACAGTTTGACCAGCAGGAATCCCGAGCTTCCATACATTCATCTAAAATCTCCGTTAACTTTCTTTCCCCAGTTAGGCCTTTACAGTTCAAGCGAGGTTCAAAGCTGGAGAAGGTCAAGTGAGAACTCCTCTTGCGCATAGGTGGCGGGTTATATTCTTTTGTAGTGCCCGAGCTCCAGCAATATTCAGGGCCGAGGGCCCTGCTCCAGCAATATTTGGAGCAGGGTCTTTCCCCTAGCCCTGCCTGGAGCGGGCCCCAGCCCCCGCATATCTCCCCCCCGCCCCACCGCATCCCTACCTGGAGCGGGTCCCGCCTGGAGCGGGCCCCCCCCCCCCCCCCCCCCCGCATCCCTGCCCAAAAGAAAGCAGCACGCACCTCTCCCGTGCCTGCTTGTGCTGCCAGAGTAGCACATTCCTAGGCGGAGCCCTGTTCCTGGCAGCAACTGCTGTCTGCTGCCCCAGGGTCCTAGTGCCCCCCAACCACTAATGGCAAGGAAGGCTGCCCTTACCCTGCCCTTCCGCCCTAGCCCTGAGCCTCTCCAATGCCCCAAACCCCTCATCCCCCTACACCCTAATCCTCTGCCCCAGCCCTAAGCCCCCTCCTGCATCATGAACCCCTCATCCTCAGCCCCAACCCTCATCCCCCCGCACCCTAATCCTCTGCCCCAGCCCTGAGCCCCCTCCTGCATCATGAACCCCTCATCCTCAGCCCCACAGCCCTCACCCCTGCACCCCCTCCTATCCCCAAACTCCCTCCCAGAGCATGCACCCCTCACCCCCTCCTGCACACCCGCCCTCTGCCCCAGCCCGGAGCCTGCACCCAGCACCCAAACTCCATCCCAGAGCCTTTACCCTGCATCCCTCCTGCACCCTAATCCCCAGCCCAGGACCTGCACCCCAGACTTCTTCCCCCCACCCAACCCCCCTCCCAGAGCCTTAGGCAGGTGGGGGGCGGAGTTTGGGGTGGGCAGAGTTGGGCCGGGCGGGTTCTGGACACCACCAAAATTTCTACAAACTTGCCACCCTGCTCTTGTGATATGGCAATGAGACCTGGCCTGGATGGGTGTCTATTATATTAAACCAACAACTGCTTTCGGCAGCAGTCCCTGAGGTAGATAAAATCTGCAACCATAGCTCTAGTAAACATAGAGCATAGTTCTGTTGTTCGGGTGGGATGTGGCTAGGTAGACCACAATAAAGCTCAGAAACTTTCTTATTCTCCCATACTGCTTGGTCTTAGTAGCCAATGTTTCTTACCAGCTTGAGATTACTCTAGACACTATCTTCTCTGCTTGATCTAAACTCAAGAACCTAGTTACATCAGAAGGAAACCTGTTTTAACCCCATTATCTGTTCTGCTAGTAAAATCTAACAATGCACCCTTCTTATGCTTAGGGCTGGTGCAACCACTAGGCGATCTAGGTGGTCGCCTAGGGTACCAAGTGTTTGGGGGCGCCCAGGGCTGTCCTAGACATAGGCAGCTGGGTAGGGCACCTGAACATTTGGGGCATCACTGAGTCTTAGTGTCCACCCGCCTGATTTCCTATCCCTGTTCTGACCCTTCTTGCAGCCAGGCTCCGAGTCTTCCTGGGAGGAGGATCTAGTAGTTAAAAGAGAAAAAGCCTCCAGCCTGCCAGACCTATTAGCACAACACTGAAACTGTTAAAGAGCCATTCAAGGGGTAATGAAGCCATTTAACAGGCATTTGCCAACCCCCAGGTATATACTGTCAGTTTCTGAATGTACTGACAAAAACAGTTGTGCATTACTGTAATATTTACTCATGACATGTCAGTCTACAGGACCTAAGTTTAAAATTTGCTTTAAAAATATTTCATTAGTGAGTTGGTTAAGCTTAAAATCACATCTCTAAAAAATCCTTGCACAATCATCTTTAGCCTTAAATGCTTGGATCTTCAGACATATGTTTTTTTTAAATAAATTCTTCAAAAGACCACCCTTATCTAAAATACATATTTTAATTACTATAGTAAAAAAAAAACTTACTTCCAAAGTCTTCCTGTCCTTTCTGTCCATTCATTTCTCCCTTCACAACCTCCCCCAATTGAAGAGAGCCCTTAAACTAAAGGGACAACAGCCCTTTGCTTCCAGACAGCTGGACAAGAAGTTTCCCTTTCTTTACTTCTGACTATCTGATGAACTAATTTTAAGAGAACCCTCCAGCAAAATCAGTACCTTAGTAAGATATATTTCAGAGTAGCAGCCGTGTTAGTCTGTATCCGACTTGTGGCACCTT